GTAAACACATCCGTGGGACTATCTATTCACACCTGCAATCCACGATATGAACTGGAAAATGAGGTCAGTAGAGCAAAGAGCAAGAAATAATGAGCCTGGACCCGTGGGTTCGAATCCCACGCAAACACCGGAATTACAGGCCAGCTGATATCGGCTCGGACACCCTCGACGGCATGACTGGTGAAATCCCAGCAACCCGATGGCGGATCTTGGAATGCCTTGCAGACTGAGTACCCGTACGCCAAACATCCCAGAAAAAAAAAAAAAATAGCCCGAAGACGTACTCTTCGACAACCACGAAAATCGAATTCTGCCACTGCAGAGAGTCGGAACGAGAGGGGTTAAAATCGAATCGTCCAAAGAAACGGACATTGGAGAGCCTCGCGCAGTCCAGCGGTGGGAGCTCAGGGAGAATTTTGAGCGCCTTATTAACGTGTCAGGCGCGAATTGCGTAATAAAGTGTCAAAATCTCGGTCGGCTGCACCGCCAGGAGCTGCCGGTGGACGAAGGAGATGTGCGGGACCCTGGGGAGCACATCTACGAAAGCAATACGAAAGAGTTAGGCTGGTCAAAACGAAATCGCACTCAGAAGGACTTGCCGAGTGTAAATTGAGCCTTTTGACGCACGTCCCGCGGTCAGCGGCGCCGGCAACGAACGCCCGAGACGATGCGCTAGCGGTGCACGAAGGATATGCACGGAACTGCGAGAACTACATCTGCGTAAGAATTGGGTTAGTCGCAACGAGATCGCGCTCAGAGAAACAGCTTACATTTTTTACATGTGGGACTTCGCGGTCAGCGAACGACGAACGGCGAGCTAGCGGTGTACGGAGGAGATGCGCGGAACCCTAAGGAATACATCTGCGAGAGAGTTAGGTTGGTCAAAACGAAATCGCACTCAGAAGAACCTGCGGAGTGTAAATTGAGCTTTTTGACGCATGTCCCGCGATCAGCCGGCGACGAACACCCGAGACCATGCGCTAGCGGTGCACGGAGGATATGCACAGGACCGTGAGGAACACATCTGCGTAAGAATTGGGTTAGTCGCACCGAAATCGCGGCTTACATTTTTTACATGTGAGAGTTCGCGGACATCCGAAACGGTGAGCTAACAGGAGCTAACGGTGCACGAAGGAAATGCGGGGGAGCCTGAGGAGCACATCCGCAGAGCAATTGTGCTAGATTAATTGCGTAGCCTGGAGTCGACGACCGTGCTGGATGGTTGCAAAAAATGTGGGACGGTAGGTACATCGAGTCAATTAGATAGACAGTACATGTACATCAAGTCAATTAGATACAGGAGCAACTTCTAGCGCAAAGCCAGTCAAAGGCATCTGCAGCGCAAAGCCACAGATGAAGATTTAGACCTCATGACTATCGACTCAAGCAACCAATGGGTCTGCGCCACCGTCTTGCGCAGGCACCAACCAAGTGTCTGCGCCGCCATCTTGCGCAGGCACCGCTCCGCCAGCGAGGTGTCTGCGCCCCCGTCGTGCGCAGGACCGTTCGCCCAACCATGTGCCTGCGCCACCAACTTGCGCAGACACCATTCACGTCGCCCGTCTGCGCCGCCATCTTGCGCAGACACCACTCGCCTCACCGTGTGTCTGCGCCCCCGTCCTGCACAGACACCATACATCTCATCTGTCTGCGCCATCGTCTCGCGCAGGCGGTCGCCGAGTTGCTGTCGTGGTCAAGACGAAGTAACGAATGTCACATGTCACATCGGCGCCAAAGCATTCTAGTAATTTCTACAAAAACGCCGCTGTCGGCCGTTTCCGGGAATGTATATAGACAAGGTACCACAGAGTAGGCAGCAAAAATAAAAATAAAAACAGATTCGGAAACAGGAAACAGATAATGTAATACAAAGATACATCCGCGGCCTAAATCTACAGCTTAGTGAGTCTCGTCCAACTCCCCATCTTCCTCCGCCGTAGCCATCAGAGCGGTTACTGCATCCACGAAGGGGGCCGAAGTGCTGCCATCGCTCGAGATGGCGGGGTCTGCCGCGATGCGCCGCAGGCCGGCGTCGATGGTGGGTTTGGTGGAGCGCAATGGGATGACCCAATACTTTTCACCCCAGACACCAAGACAGCGTAGGGCATGGATCGTAAAGCGTCCGTCGCTGCGTGCAGCACGCGCGACGTAATCCTTCCATTCCGGCACACTGTCTCCAAGAGCAGCAGCATGACTTCCCCAATCGCTAGCCACCAGGGAATACACGGCTGTTGTGACCCGTACGGACGAGTAGTCGAACAGCACAAAGTACCCCGCATCAGGGAATGCGCGCAGGCAATGGACAATTTGGCAGAAAATCGTGGGCTGGTGCTCGAGGTAGTCGGCGTTCAACAGGGCGCGCAAGTGAAAGCGTCCGCGGGAAGTCAACCCGCATCCTGAAACTGGGTACGAGATGTAAGATATTGCCGTTGCCTGCGAGAGAGGGTGGCTTACCGAGACTCAGACGGCGATCAAGAGAACACGACTCTCGGTGTCCGCCCTCTCTCCAATGTGCCCTTTGACATTCCTCGCAACAGTAATGGGCGCTCCTGCAGCCGGAGCACCGTCTGACGAGACCTTTCGACATTCCATTGCACTACTTATGCGTGAGACGTTATGAAGGCCGTTGAAAAGAGAATACCAACCTTGATATTGTCGCAAGTCGACGACGGATCAGATACCGAGACGGCGCCAGAGCGCCAACGCACGACGGTTTGTAAATCTTTCCACTCCAGGGATTCCAGGATTGATGAGGTAGAGGCGAGGTCGCGTAGATTCTCGAGGGCAATTTGCATCAACGACAGACTACGATGGTGTATGGTGATGCTCGGAAGGAAGTGCCGCAAGAAGAAAGCCAGGTGGTAGTGGGTTTCCGTGATAGCTGCGCAAGAGATCATGCTACGAAGCAACAACTGCAATGCACAATCTAGGGCTTTGTCGAGGGTACTTCCCATAATCGATCCACGACATAATATCCGTCGCAGGAGGTTGAAACACCAGTTGATCGCCACGAAGTGGCTAGTTTCGCAAAGGGCAATAACGGTATGCAGGATAGACTGGATTATACCCTTGCACAGCAGTTCCAACAAAAAGGTGCACGCGACTCCGGTATCTCCTTCCGCAGCCCGTTCGACGGGGCGAACGAACGTATCCAGGATCTGCAGGGCGAAACACGTGGGATCGCGCGATTGTTCGCCCAGTGTATGGCGGAGATGTTTTGTCACCAAAGAGGCAAGAGATCCAAAAGAGCCACCAGCGCCCTCAGACAATTGTTTGAGCATCTCAGGATCGAACTCTGAGGGGGCTACGATTCCCAAAATAAAGCACAGTCCAGACCCATCAGCAGCTGCGAGGATGAAGCTCCAAGCACGGCCGACGACGGTATAAAACCCAGGGGTCCTCTTGCTGAGATCCACGGTCTGCTTGCCGCAGATCCAAGTAAACGACAATAGCTCCGAAATCCGTTGTTTCTTGTCGTCGTCGCGGGCCCGGAGCCCAGGGAGGTCGAAGGAGAGCCGGTGGGCGTCAAGGAACTGAAACCATGCCCACAGGCGGGGCCACAGTTTCAAAGCCGCAGCAGAGGGAACGTCGACCCCCGGCTCCAATTTACGGAAAAGTTCCCAGGCCAGCAGGGCACCAAAAACAACTGGACCAAGGTCCCCGATATTGCGTCGTTCACCAAAGGCGTCGATATCCTCGGGTGTCGGGATTCTGGCTGGATCCAAGTAAATATAGACGACTGGAAGTACGAGCAGGGTTGGGTTACGCCCAAAGACTAGACGTTTTAGGTCGGGCAAGGAGCCGTCGGCCGCTGCCAGTGCCACTCGCTATAGGTGGTAAGCCAAAACGTAGGTCCGCTGAGGGGTTCACATACTCGGATAGAAGGTGGAAGAGCATCGAGGGCGGCGATTTGCAGAGATGGATGCATGAGACCGAGTGACGCGAATCGTAGGTAGGGCAATTGAGTCGTATTGTAGGTTCGGAAAGACAGGAAATATAATTCTCGCGACCGGACTTTCACAAAGACACAAAGAACCGGCCTTCGGGCCTTATAAGATCCAATCATGACCGAATGCAGCATGTTGCTTGCGCTCATGGGGAAGAAGGGCGCAGCGTTGTTGAGAAAGCAGTTATTGCAGCATTTATTCCATTCGGTATTACTCAAGCCAACTGGCGCAAAGCTAGTTGGGGCTGCAGCGCAAAGCCGCAGGGAAGACCAAGACGTGGCCGAATCAGGGCGGCCATTGTTTGGTTTACAGACCATCGCACCTGATCTCAAACACCATCCATTCTACCAACATTCTACCTTGTGGCTCTGCGCTGCAGGTTCGTCGACTGGCTTTGTGCTGGTCATACGAGGCGCGCTAGCCGCATTTTGGTCCCGCCCTGCTCCTGCCGCTTTGCCGCTGCCACCGCGCCTGCCCGGCACCCGTTCCGCCCCAGCCCCCAGGTCGAGGTGGGGGCATGTCCCAGCACCCCGCCTGTGCCCTCCGCTTCGCTCTCCGATGCGTACGAGGCGCGCTAGCCGCATTTTGGTCCCGCCATCCCCCTTTTTTATCCTCAGCACGCTCCCACCGCTCTCCGTCCGCCGATTTCCCCACACCCGACGTTCTTATCCTACTTCCTTCCTCACTGTACCTCCAAAATTATGTCCAGGCGTTTCTTTCTTAAGTTTCACCCTTTTTTGTCATCAAATCGGACTTGTAATTATTTTTTTTGGCGTCGAAACACGGAGTTCGTACAACTTGTAAGCTCCTCCTTTTATCGCTGAGTATGGTCTTCATGTAAGAACGCATTTCATTCTAATTTCGTAATGCAAAGTGTCGCAACCCCTCGTTCGAGTTGAGGTGAAGTCATTTTAAAATGTTCCCAGTCTTTGTTTTGTTCAAATTCTTCAAAGTCGCGTTAGAACGAAAGTCCTCAACTACGCTGAATCTAACGCCAGGGAAAGAAAAATTGAGCGTTTTCGTACTGCGGTATCACAGTACCAAAACGCTCAACGCCCTTGCTGGGGATCGAACCCAGAGTCTCTAGCAAACTCTGATAGCTAGACGCACGACCAGCTGCGCCACAAGGGCTTGATGTCTCTGGTGCACACAGGGCCTACGCAAGTCTAAATCTACGAAAAAATAGCCGGTTTCCATCTCCCGGAATGCCTTGGCTGGGAATCGATTAAAAATCGTCAGTGTGAAGACTCGAGTCAAGAACAAGATCAACGTACCTCAGGGGAAAGAGAAATGGACACCAGGGAAGCAATGCCTTGCCAGCTAGGGACATGAGTTGTGAAGGAAAAAAAAATCATCATTTTTCGTCGTGGAAGCAGTATGGGTGAAAGACATAAGTATGGGTGAAAGGCATACGCCTGGTGCTAAAATCTACGCCGCCGTCCTTTTCCTGTTAAGCAAGAAGGTCGTCAGCGCCGAAAGGCATGCGAAAGAACCAGAAATATACCTCTTAATAGGCCCCTGGGGCTCACTGTTCTCGTTGTTGTCGGCCTTTCTCTTACGCCCCACTGCAGCACCGCCTGACGAGCTGCCCTTCGCCTTCTTGGTCGTGTCGCCCTCCACCTTCCCTCTCGTCGCCTTCCCTGCCGCCGTCCCCCTTCTCCACCGCCGTCCCCGTCGCCTTCGCCGCCCTCTTCAGATTCGCCGCCATCCTATGCCTGCTTCCTTTCAGCGCCTCCAGTAAGGCTGCGTCCTTCTTCGCCTGCAGCTCGTCCGTCAGGGTGACGATTGCGCCCATATTCCGGCGCGGTGCGGGTGCTCGGCGTGGACGCGGGGCGTCGGGCGGCAGGGGGACCACCACCAACGGGTGATTACCGTCGAAATTGTTGAGGCGGCTGTTCGCCTTGTATTCCGCCGCCGCCAGCCGGTCCTTCTCCTTCTTCTGAGCCCGTAGCTCCTTGTGCATTCGGCTGCCGTTGCCGCTGATACTGTGAATGAGCACGGGCGTCGCCGCGTCCGCCACGACCTGCGCGTCCTGCTCTGGCGATGTGGGAGCCTTCACCTGCCTCCCCTTCCCTTTGCCCCTCGCGCCAGCCTCCGTCTCCGCCTCGTCGGCCTCCACCTCCACCTCACCCCCCGCTTCCACATCCGCACGCCTGTTTCCCGCACCCACCTTACCCCCGCCTTGCTCCTCCCAGCCTTCCTCGCCGCCCTAGCGTGCTCCATCCTCTTCGCTATCGCCTCTGGGGAAGCCCTTACCGCGGGTCGTTTAGGCTCATTTGCCGGTGGGCGAGCTTTTTGGCGTGTCCCGCGGTCAGTGCCGCTGAGGAACGCCGGAGACGACGAGCCGGAGGTACACGGAGGATATGGACGGGACTGTGAGGAACACATCTGCGTAAGAATTGCGTTAGTCGCAACGAAATCGCGCTCAGAGGAGCAGCTTACACTTTTGACATGTGGGACTTCGCGGTCATGATCAGCGGACGACGAACGTCCGAAACGGCGAGCTACCGGTGCACAAAGGAAATGTGCGGGAGCCTGAGGAGCACGTCGCAGAGCAACTGGGCCAGATTAATTAGTGAACTGTGTGGCCTGGAGTCCGACAAGGGCGCTGGATGATCAAGAGAATTGTGAGAGTACATCGAGGGTAAGTAAATACGGGAACCACTTCGACTAGCGCAAAGGCAGTCGAAGGCATCTGCAGCGCAAAGCCACAGACGGTAGTAGATACAGAACAGTGGGACTCCGAAGCTGCTAAGTGGATTCCAGTGAGTGCCGTTAACTATAGACATTCTGCCAAAATATCCCACATATTATGCTCAACTATGAGGTGCAAAGTGTTGCCTCCTTATAAAACCGATAGCGTACAATACCGTTGATAGAGATACCTACTTACTCCGTACGTAGAACCGCTGTCGTAGCCGTACCAGGCCCACATACAGCATAATATATGATCATCATCATCATCAGCAAAGTGTTACGCTTCCATGTTATTTGTGCAAATTTGATAGCCCACAAAGATTGGTCTCGTTCTCAACAGCCACTGAACACAACTGGTAAGAGTGAGTTGCAGCACAGATTAGGCATCCAGGTGATGCATATGTGAACCTAAACGTCGGGATTTGAATCATATTTGGTCAAGATATTATCATAATGGCCAGATTGTTGCGCTTCTCGGTTAACGACTGTAGTTCATATTCGCGTATGGCTCTCCTTTGTGCAGGGAACCCGAGGTGGACATGGTGAGCGCTGAATCGGAATTTTCGCGTGTGGTGAGACGAAAGATGGGGCAGATGATCATTTATCGCGAGCCCGATGGGGCATTTCCTTTCAGGGCACCGGGTAAACAATTTTCAATTTTGATATCAGGCTTCATTTAGTGTGAACAACGATTATTTTTTGTACATGGCAGTTATCTCACTTGGATAACAGAGGGATCAGCACTGTATAGGAGACTCGTACGTGTATTCAGAAACGCAGTAGAAATTTACGGCCCCACCCGCCCCGCCCAGAACAACTGCTCCACCTCGGCGAGCGAGCCCACGATCGTCATCGCCGCCGGACATTCTTCGAATGCCTTGTCAGCCTCCTCTCTAAACGAAATAAATTGGTCCAATGAGGTGTAGTGAGGAAGAAAAGAGACTTACATGCTACGACGAACACGCCCATCGCTGAAATAGTAATAGGGGCGGGGGCGTGCACCGGCGGCTGCCTCGGCCTCGGACTTTGCAACGGGGGCGGGCGCCGCGTTCGGGAGCACGGAGCCCACGGGCTTGATGGTAGGTGTGCAGGGCGAAGATTTCGGAGCAGGCGCGCGACTCTTCGGCGGCGAGGATTGGGCGACGCCCTCTACATCTTTGGATGGGGCCGTGCGTGCGGTGGGGGTGGGCGCAGGCGGCAAACCAGCAGAGTGTGTGGACTGGGTCGCGACCGCCTCCCGGTACACGAGGTTGTGGGTGTGCGCGTGGAGGGCGGAGTCGACGGCGTGGGCGCAGTTGTCGTCCGGATTGCTGCGGCGCTTCTTGCTCTGCAACGCCAGAGAGAGATCAGGGGACTCTGAGCGCGCGCGTTTATGGGTGTCACGCGCGTCCCGTGGCTTGACGGAGGGCTCTTTAAAAAGCGTGGGGGCGGGGAAGAGAGGACCGGTTCGCGGGTGCATTCGCGAGAGCTTGAGGCGTGCGTGTTGGCCTTCCGCGTCATAAAACAAAAGGTCGTCCAGGTTGGTCGGGGGCACTATGCGTTGGATGCTCCGCCTCTGCTCGGGCGTGGTGGGGTGAGCATGGTGCGTGGTACACCATTTATACAGGCCGTGGGCAAGTTTCAGCGCGTCGGAATAGTGGTCGGTCTTGGCGGGGTCGTCTAGGGCTGTAGAATCGAAGGCGGGATCGTCGAGCGCCTTGAGATATCCTTTAAGAGAGTTTCTACGCATTAGATGGTTAGTACGCCCTTCGGAATTGTATGTCGAGGACGCACAGATCACTAAACACGGCAGCTTTTGTGGGATGCTTGAGGAGGTGCCAGCTACGTCGACCGTGTTCGTTGTGCGGTACGAGACCTGTCAATTCGACGTGAATATGGCTGAGGAGGGCAGGCAAGGACCGTTCAGACCTTTGAAGTCGGGATGAGTATATAGTGGAACAGAGCAGGCAAACGCGCCATAGTTGGGCGCCTGGGGGGGACGAGAAGGATAGGCGACACCCGTGTGGGTGTGTACAGTGGACCTGGTCATGAGTGTATGATGAGGAAAGAGAGTGAGCGTGTCACCTTGTGACGCGACGCGCAGCGGAGATCGAATCAGTTTCAAGTTGTTTCTCAGCATGAGAGAAATGGTGTGACCTATCCTTAAATGAACCACTTACAGGCATGGCAGTGTGGTATAGCGGTACAATTCTCGGTCTTGCCTTCGGAGTCGGACCCGAGAGTCGAGAGTTCGAGCCTTCTCCCGCCACATAATCGTGCATTCTTCTTGTTTTTGTTTTTGTTTTTGTTTTTGTTTTTGTTTTTGTTTTTGTTTTTGTTCTTTTCTTTGGAGTCTTCTTTCTCTCTCACCGTCGTCGTCGTCCACGCTTGCTGCGTTCTTCTGCTCTTGTCGCCTGCTTTTTCTCTACATAATAGTACATTTGGGTACGTCGGATGGCTGTCTTGATTCAAGTTTACGCGCAGCCATGGCACTTGTGACACGACGCGCAGTCTTCACCACTCGACCACCATACCAGCACCGACCACCACATGCTCGACAAACCTGCCCGAGATTTGAAGCCAGGCGGTGAAAGTCCGACCCGCTGTCAATAGGCCGCCCGGACAACCAGTTTCCGTGGCTCGCTGGCGCGGTGGTGTGAGGGCGGTGGTCGGAGATGCGACTCGACTCGGTCACCCCGCTCACCCGGCGTACTTCTATGCCCCCTCTTCTCTTCCCTTATGTTTCCCGGCTCTTTATGCTACGTGCGATCTATTCGTTGACCGGGTGCCCTTGCGCACCCACCCTTTGCTCCCCCACTACGATGGACCACTACACATATACGACGACATATCCCCTTCCACTTTCCCCCACAGATTGGCTGCGTAGTTACTTCGGTACCATACTCGGCCACCGCGTCTTAGCACTAAGTGTTTGCTTGTAGCGGTATAGAAATGCAGATACAAAAAAAAAAAAAAAAAAAAAAAAAAAAAAAGTGCTCCCCACGTGATCCAAACCGGACGCGCGCCCCTCGCGATCCCGTTTCACCCGAGCTCAAATTTCGTCGACGCGAGTACCCACGACAGGCACAGTAGCCGCAAATGGCACTGGACAGACGTGCGTGATCTGCTCGACCCCCCCTGTGTTGCTTGCTGCCTGCTAACAACTTGCCTCCAGCGCGGGACCCCGATCTTTCTATGGCCCGTTGCTGGACTTGCCGGGGAAGGTAACCAAGCACGAATTTGGGCGTCTCGAGGAGCTCTGCCACCACGCCCACACGTGGGCTCTCAACAATCGCCGTAGTGCGGAACGGGTGGGGCTGCTGGTCGATCGTCCGGACGAAGTGCGCGCAGAGGCGGTCGTGGATATGGCCAAGCCCACCGGTGAAGATCTCCTCACGTGGAGCGGGGGTGCGAAGAGCCAGGGTGCGAAGAGGGAGGGCGTCCAGGCGAAACGC